TGCTGAACCAGAACTAGCCAAGCAAAAGTAAATAAATCTCTCTCTTCTGTTTAATTTTTCCTTAGGATCTTTCTTTAAATTTTGAAGAGGAAACAAAACAGCTACACAGATAAATTGCCAGGACATAGGCAGTTTCCATCACAGGGGACTCACAGAGACATTGCTTTGGTTCCAGCAAATGGGTTCTGAATTAATTTTCACCTGGAAGTGAAACCATAAACACATCCTCAGACTCAGGTTGCATAAGTCCTTACCTTATCCATGTGTGCAAAACCAAAAGTGCCTGCATCCTTCTTCTGTGATAGATTTAGCTCAATAGTAGGAACTGTCATGGCAGTGGAAACCTGTTCTTGTGACAGTTTCAGTGACACTCCTATGGAAATACCACAGTTCCAAGAAGTAAATGTACATGAGGAGCCCAGTTCCATACAAAAGCATGAAGACAGTTACCCACTCTGAATCTTACATCTCTTCCTCAAGAAAATGATGTAAGGTAATTTCCCCAGTTTACCTCTCCCATTTGTTCTGTGCCATTCATGCACGTGCAGGTTTTCCACAGAAAAACAGCTCAAAGGAAATTAATCTTAATATATGGTGCAATGGTTCCGCAGAAAAGTTCTTTTTCCATCAAGAAGTGCTCGTTATCCCCACAGTATATCTCAAATTAAATATACATACCTCATCAAACCTCTTGCACAACAGGGGAATTCACTATGAATAATTAATTTAGTAGAGTTTAATCAGCAATGATCATGACTAGAGCTCCACTGATGTATTTGTTTGAGCATCTTGAGCAAAGCTACTTTCTGCTTTCATCAAATCTCTCTTGAGCTCATGTCATACAGCTATGGTTTTCACAGCTGGACAGTCACTCTCAGATTTGGACTGCCAGGGTGTTGGGTTCTTTTTTAAATATTAAGAAGCTAACACTTTGCTAAGTGGCCTTGGTAGTTTAACATGTTTCCTCTCATTTTGGAAGATGCATTATTTCCTGTATGGTTTTACCAAATTTCCCTGTCTTGATACATTATGAGACCTTGTCATTTGTGCCAGATTAACTTTTATTTGATTCAAAAAGAGTTAATGCACTTTGTGTTCTTGCAAGACGTACTAGTTTTCAGTACTGTAATTAAACCCATTCTCAAGTCTATAGCAAGACTCAGGCTATTAGTTTTTATGTTTATAACATAAAGTGCAGTATCTGGAACGTTTAAGAGTTCCAGTTCTGTAAGTCAATTAGACCTGGCTGCAAATTTTCTATTGACAGTTTTTTGACAGAAATTTAAGTCTTCATAACTTCAGTCTCTTTGAGATATACTATGGAACAGCTTTTCCTCAAACTTCTGACTTCTGTGGCAAAGTGTGATATTCTTTTCTTTTTCTTTTTTTTTTTTATTTTCTGTTAGGAAAAATGAAACAGAGCATTTAATTTGATCCAGATTGAACTAAACGGGAATGATTTTAAACAAAGTAGTATATTTCCTGTCAAACAGTTTAATTTTATTTTAGATGGCCTCAGGTCATGGTGAGATTATATGCAACTACCTCCAGTTTTCCTTCAGACTGACTTCTGAGCCTAGAATACATCTTTCATGAGGCACCACATTTTTGACCTCTAACTGAACTGTTTCAGCATCTCATGGGAATCACCTGATGTTCATGTACCAGAGAAAACAGTTTCTCCTAAGAGCATGACACGTGGCGAAACACTGGGCACCTGATTTACAGCTCCCAGGAAACATTGCAACAACTGAGTTTAAAAATCCTATGACATTTTTCCCAGGCACAATTTGCATAGTAATGGCTTTTCCATCAGTCCTGATCACAGCAGGGAGGAGAATGAAAGTCATATTAGCTGAGGAGATCTGCATTCAGGCTGCTGCTTTGGTTGGGTGCCATTTGGAAATTTCAAGGTCTCAGTGACTCATTCCTGATGTGAAATGAAGGTAGCAGTGTTTCCTTTCTTCTTCTCTTTGTCACTTGGCTATTCTGATGACATCTTCAATCTGGAGTCAGTGTTTGTCATGTTCATGTGCAGTGCTGACCCTTATAAAGCCTCTAAACTCAGGCACCAGACTGACAAGGACAATTCCCCAGGTGGGCAATGCTTGGTGGCTCCAAGGTCCAAGGGCACAAAAGCAGAAGACAGTTCCCAATCCAGTGGTCTGATGCTCACTGTTTCACATATATTCGTGCCTATGCTGGTAAAAGAAAGCATTTTCCTTACAGATTCTGCCATTTGCAAACAAACAGAAAAATAAGTGAAGGATCACCAGCTCCTTGAGACAGCATTAAACACTCTCAGTTTTATTAATGTACTGACTGTTTTTCTGTGGACTATTAAATAGAGGTTAAGGCAATATTTTTGAGAAAACCTTTCTGCCTCAGAGGTTTCCTTATTTAAATAAGACATGAAAGAGTTTTAGACAGACAGGTGGAGAAACACAGGGAACCACAAAGACAATCCTGGTCAGGGTGATTGTCAGTGGTATCAGTACACCCACAGTCTAAGCTATGACTTTTATGTAGGCCTGGGAATGGGGAATTTTTCCATAGTGAGAGGGAATAAATAATAAATGTATCTAGCTGTTAATATTTATTATCAGTTTATTCCACAGAAGAATAATATATTGGAAGAAAATTTGGATTTTTTTTTTCTTTTGGGTCAGTAGACTTTTAATTTAAAAACAAAACAACAAACAAACAAACAAAACAAACAAAAAACCAAAACAAACCAGAAGTATAATTAGTTGGTTTGTGTTCTTGTGATCTCTGTAACAACAATGCTGTTTTGCCACTCATTCCCCTGGATCACCAGAAGTTCTCTCTTCATAGGACAAATTTTATCTTTCAATGTCATTTAAAAATTGTTGCTTTTCAGATTGCTTTAAGAGCAAAGTTGTGTTGTTATGAATCATTGCTTTGGGTTTTTTTATATTTAAAATATTACACCTACAAATTTATTCTGAATATTGTTAAATTAACAACTGTGAAAATTGTTAATTTTTCTAAAGTAAACCCCAGAGTGCTTGATCACAATCAGTCAAATTAAGAGAATTAGAAGAAACTGCAGTTTATGCATACATCATTGTACACATTTTGGACCAGATGCCCACAGGTGCTGAGGTGTCTAACAGCCTTTGGTTTCAGCAGAGACACAGACTCCTAAACAGAAGTGAGGTTTCTAAGAAAATTTGTCGATCCTGACTTGAAAAATGAATTAATTAAAATGCTAGGATTGTTTTGTTAAAATCAGTACACTGATCTCTGTGCAGATATATTATAAATCCTTGAAAATATCTGCTGTTTCGAAAGCAAGAAAAACTCCTGCAAAATTTAATATGTAAATATGTGTTTCTGTTTGTATTCAGGAAACTACGGAGAGAGTGGAATGGAAGCTTTCAAAGACATGGCAGCTAAGGAAGGGATCTGCATTGCACATTCCTACAAGATCTATAGCAATGCTGGTGAACAGAGCTTTGACAAGCTGCTGCGAAAGCTTCGGAGCCACCTGCCCAAGGCAAGGGTTGTTGCCTGCTTCTGTGAAGGCATGACTGTGAGAGGGCTCTTAATGGCTATGAGGCGCCTGGGACTTGCTGGAGAATTTTTGCTGCTGGGCAGGTGAGTAATGCTGTGCAATTACAGCCAGCATCTTGACTGAGAAGGGCAAAACCAATAAGACGGTCCAGTCAAGCAAATACATCCTCATGGTGTCTCCTATACATGTGCATATCTAAAAGCTAGAAAGTAACGTCAGCCATGTCGTAACGGTGCACACTCTACAAAGACATGCATCATTCTCATGACATTTCATGCAAACACAAGTCCACTTGGCCAGTCTTAGTAGCATTGTGTAAGAGAAGACTCACACACAAATATTTGCATCTGTATCACACATTTTCCTCACTGCAGTTTAAAATGTATCAGGGACATGTACAGCCTGAACTGTGTGTCATTTGAGTAATATGGTGGTAAGAATCACTGATGGGGCCACTGGTTGAACCTGAAGTTAATCTTCCCAAAACATAGTTCGTTAACTATCACTTTTTGCTCTTAAGCCAATGTTTTGACATGTGCATAGTGTCCTAAAACCAATATATGTGTAATTAATTCTCTTAGCACAATGATATCTGTGGTTCCTTTCCTAACCACCAAAGAGTGACTGGAGTACTTTTCAGATATGTTCACCCAGCAGGAAAAGACCCTGTGCTAGAAAGCAGGGAAGTAAAAGGTCTTGATGGAAACCTAATGGGATCTCTCTGTTGCCATATATTCAACAAGCGGACCCTAAGTCACATTAGAAAAATGATGTACTGATCACAAAAAGGAACATAATGGAGCATTACCAGGAGTTAGGTAATGTGACCTGCTGCCTTTCCAGCACACTATTAAAGGGACGGCCTGATGCTGTCCAAAGCATGAACCCTACAGAAACACAAACAAACAATATCAGTGAAACCAGATGTTCTGGTGAGACCTTGCAGGAAACTTGTAAGAACTGCAGATCTACCCAGCTGTCTTGGAAGTTGGGATGCTGTGACTGGCTGACAAGCAGGACCCCAGCCTCTATTCCCAGTCTGCAATGTTGCACACAGCTGCCTTTCCCCCTTTCCTTTAGGCAAAGGGGAAAACAAACAGGCAGCATCAGGGATTTCTGCCTCTGCCCTGATGCTTTAGGATCAGCCTACATTTTTCAAATGTCAGGTGTGAATTGCTAATTATTTCTCTGTCTTATGGTAACTGTGTCTACCCTTCCTCTCAAATGTATTTTGACTGTAGATTGTCTTGTTTTTTTTCTGGACTCACATCAAAATGAACCACAGCCCTGAGGATGAGATTTAATGAAACATATTTAGATTTCTACAATTTAGACACTTTGATATAGGCTATCCAGCAGGATCCCCTCTACAATTAATGGAGAAAAATAGGACCTTCTTAGGTCTCTTGTTTTTAATGTGGACATTTTAAGTACTCCAGAGAAATCGTATTCTAGAAAAGGATTTAAACAAAGACTCTCTTGATGATGGACTAGGCTTGAAAATCCTGGGCGTTAGTTGGTAAAGTGGAGCAACCTATCTCTAGCTGAAGCTGGTGCCACATAACCTTTTCTGTCTTTTATCTGAAAACAGTGCTTGCTTGCCCCTAAATCTGGCTGCTGCTGCAGACAATTGGCAATTTCTTATGTTTAGGAAACTATGTTTGTGGTTAACTCTTCCAGATTCCAAGCCATACATAATTCTGTATGGAATTTGTTTCTCTACAACAGTGCTAAATGTTTTTATCAATAAGGATGCTTTTATCAATAAGGACTTCAGGAACTGGTGATTGTGAATAAGAATGGGAAAATACAACTCAAATATTAAAAAAAAACCCACAACAATTCTAGAAAGAACTGGCTATGGTTTGTATTGGTTTGGTTTAGGTTTGGTTGGTTGGCTGGTTTTTTTTATTTGTTTTGTTTGTTTGTTTGTTTGTTTGTTTTGTGTGTGTGTGAAAAAATACTTGTTTCTACCTGCACTGGGAGCTTTCATGACTAAGTACAAAAAAATTGTTATTCAGCACACGACTTTTATTCAGTAAATTGAAAGTGATATCTTCTCACTATAAACTGCTTAAAGTTAAAACTTAAATCCTTAATTCTACCAGACCATGTGTGTCCATACCTGTGGTACTACTATGCAATTTATTTGTGAAAAAATAAATTTAAAAAAATGTAGCATGAATTAGAAGTGTTTGCAAAGAAAGAAAAAGAGAAGTGTAAGGAAATTTGTTTCTATCCTTTCTACTTATTATCAGACACTCCAAGATAATGACTGAGAAGTGGCTTCTCAGACATTGGTTAACCTGTATCCAGTCAGGAGCTGCTGGGGATGGATGTAAAGTAATTGCACTTCACACAACTGGACCATTTCTATGGCAGACAGCTGAGGGCAACTGAAGTGATGTATTCTCTCTATATCTCTCTCTCTTTACACTTGGGAGATCCAAAAAATTTAGAGCTTCCTATGTCCTTTCAATAGATTGTGTTCAGATTTGGCATTAAAACCAGGTATAAGCCATAAATAAAGCAACCAGTTTTGCTTTGAGTCACCCTTAGTAAGAAGAGCAGACTGTTTAATGTCCCTGCAGTACAGCAAAACTATTGAATGGAATGTGGGATGCTGTGGAGTGGTTATTTATGTCCCACAAAAAGTGTTCATTCTCATAAAAATGTTCTCCTTTGGCCATGGAAAAACCTCTAGGCTTCTCAGCACAGTGGAAAGAAAAAAGTAAAAGAAAAATAGGTAACTTGGAAGCAGCCTATTTGATGTAGATGGGATGCAAGAGAATATAGCCATTATCTATTGATGGCCTGATTTAAAACTTCCTTTTCCAGAACCGCAACATGCTGTGTCCTCTCTCAGTTTCAGCTGTTTGGGTCCACTGGTTATGAATACTGAACTGTTGGTCCAGAGTTAGCCTGAATGGTCTGCTCTGTGAAGAACAGCCTAAGGCACTGACCTGGGATAGATGTGACAGCTGGAATAACCCACGTGTTGCAAGCAGATGATGTTGGGGTACATTTTAACAGCATTTCTATAGGTGAAAAAAACATTTAGTAAGATTTTTAAAAGAACAGCACTGAAACGGGAAAGAGCTACATCTGAAATAAAAGAATTCTTGTGCAGTTAATTTATCCTGTGAAGCTATGCAGGAAAATGAACTAGACTAAGATTTGTACTGGCATTTCTGGTCCCATCCTGAAGTTGCTCTGGCTGCCCATTCAACTGAGGAGGTTATAAAAGGATACTCCAAGTGTTGGGGGAGTGCTTGTCACTGAAATGCAATGGGCTCACACAGAAACATGCATCTACTAATAGGTAGTTATTTGTTACCCAACAAATGCATTTTGTTTCCCCCTTGTGCTGTGAAGTAGAGAATTATTTTATTTCCAAATGCACAGAAAAAAATACTAAATTCCCAGAGCTGTCCTATGGGAAGCCATAAGAAATAAACATTTCACCTTCTATGAGCTTTTTTTTGGTTCCTTTTCTGATTAGTTTTTAGTTCTAATATTTCCAATCTGAAGCCTTACAAAAAGACTGCGTTTTGGTTTGGTTTTGGGGTTTTTTTGTGGTTTTTGGTTTGGTTTGGTTTGGTTGTTGGTTTTGGTTTTGGTTTTTTTTGAGTATATGGATTTCATATAGCACCGGTTTTATGCTCAGACAAACAGAAAATGGAGTGGTCAAGGAGACCACATATCACATAAATCACCCTGTAGAGCCCCAAGAAGGGGAGAAAAGATACTCTTCAATAAACATTCCACTTTTGACATATATGCAGTTCCTGAAATTTCATTGCCTGTCTGTGACAGAGAGGAAAGATGGCAAGTCATTTTAACATTCCAGAGCTTTTGATTAATAGAAAACATTTTAAGTGCTCAGCAAATATTTACTTCATACACCTTGAGGAATTTGAGTTAACCTCAGATAAAAATGGTGAGTGTGCTGACTTTCAAGTGTGAAAAAAATTACTATTTTAACCTGTTATTCAGCTTAATTGAGATTCGGATAATGGGCTTCATCGGTTCTTACTGTTTCTGTCATCCACAGGTCATATGCCAGGAGATATCCTTACAAATAAAATTAAATAGAGAACAACAGAAATATGGAGTATTAATTGTGTAGATAAAAACAATTTGTTGTGGGTGATTTTCAGCTGTTCCTCATTTTATGTAAACATGTTGTCCCTCTCTTGACTGCTAGTGGCAATGTTTGACCAAATATCTGTGATAACTCCCTTCAGTGATAATTTTTTATCTGGTGCCTTTTATCTACAAGGATTCTGAAGATTTACTTGGAATGACTAAATATTGCAGTGATTGTTCATATAGTTTTTCTAAAATGCAACAGAAATTATGACCCACTACCAAACTTAAAGAAATTAATTGTAATTGTCCTAAGTAAAATAGGTTCAGACAACAGCACCACAGTACTGCATAATTTAATTCCCTTTTTTTTTTTTTTTTTTTTTTTTTTTTTTTTTTTTTCTTTTCTCCTAGCTGGCATTATTTTATCCTGTAGTCTCTCACACTTTTGGAATGGGGTTTGGGCATCGTGTTGGTGGCAGCAGTGTCAGGGATTATTACCAAGAGGCAGTTTGAACACATATGCTCTGTTTTGGGATAGAAGACTGTTAAGATACATGGATCCAGGCTTCACATGTATCTCACCTCCAGGCAAGAGTACTGTTCCTGAGTTGTTTCATTTAATATCATAAAAGTAGTTATGGTGCAAACTTACAGAGCAAAACCCAGAAATTTTGCAAAGGATTTGTTATTCTGAATGCATGACAGTAGGACTTTTCCTGTCTTAAAGAGAGGAGAAGGGAAATGACAGGCTTATAGAGGTAAAATCCATTGCTCAGCTTCCTAACAACATCCCAGAGGCAATACTGATCAGAAAGGAATTACTAGAACTTCCACAGCCTTCATGTTGCAGTGTGTGTATTATGTGCCAGATTTATTATGGTATTATAGTATTAATACCACCTTGTTTTAGTAAAGAGAAGTTAATTAAGATTATCTAGACTCTCTTTTGTCTAAAATGACAAAAATAAACACAACCAGTAAAACAATAAAG